GTGGCTGTTCTGATGAGGAAGCAGTGATCATGGATGGCAGGGCAGCTCAGCTGTACCTTAGCCGGGGATTTTTGGAAGATAAGGACAAGAGTAAGAAAGGGGAAGTTTGCTTTGCCTGTAAAGGACATAAAAATCCTGTCACTCAATCATTGTCACATGTCTTAAAGCAAAATGTGACAGGTGACACACTTGTCCATCCACAGACCCTAAATCGTTTCCATAGCAGAGTTTTGGTGTGGAAGCAGCTCCACACAACTACATAAGAAACACCCAGTCACTAAAGTACTAATCTAGTCTTCCATGAAGAAATACACACCAACAGCCAGGGATGAAAATCAATTTAACAATAACAATGGGAAGAGGACAACAATGGCTCTAAAAATAAGCACATCACCCGGAAGGAAATCACTCATAGAAAGGAGCAGGCGTTGGGAGGTTCAGCTTGAGCTACTGTGTTCAGAGTGCTAGCTGCTTATTGCAGCCAAGATGCAAGAATAGAGGCAGCTGGGCACACAGAGCGGGGTGGGGGGGTTGAGCCCTGGGTTTAATCCCTGTACACAACACCAACAACACCAAAGAACAGATTACTATAATGAAAGAGAAACCAAAGGAAGGGAGAATGGGCATAAACTAGTAAGTATTAAATTCTGAAAATTAAATTCCCAATTACAAACTCAACCATGGCCAAAGTACTGACATTCACAAGTTGAGGTTTGAGGGATTTTAAGAATGTAAAATAAACACATACAAAACAAAAACAAAAAAAACCCTGGAAAACAAAAGAGAAGAATCAAGAGACACAGAGATCAGTGCAAGCCTGAGGACCATTTAACAGAGGCTCAGGAGACCATGCATGGCCACTGAAAGGAATTCAGAATTGTTTAAATATGTGTTAATGCTCAAAGTTCTCATTTAAGTACAGGCACGGTGAATTTCACAAAAGGGTCATCTAGCTGGCATAGTTTCAAATCCCAAGAGTAAAAACAAAAATCAAAACACTTCTACTTTTGGCCAATAAAGGATCAGGACTGCCCTACTGTAGGCATGACACCTCCCCAGTGACTACTCAGGACACATGACCGAAGATTCCTTTGCAATTCTGAGGGAAGGGGAACTTAAGCTTGGAATTCTATGTGTAAAACTTTAGGAAAACCCAGATAATTTGAGCATTATTTTTCAAACGATTGAATTCATATCATCACTTGCTAAGTACACTGGTTAAATCATACATTTAAGATCCATAGAGAATCTTCTTCTGAAACTGAGACACTTAGGGACAGGAAGATGGCTTAGCAGGTGAAGGTGCCAGATGACTTGAATTCACTCCCCAGGACCTACATGGTAGCAGAAAGTCAGGGACGTTGTCCTGTGACTTCTACAAGTACAGCACAGACACACACATGCGTACATGCTTGTACAGGCACACGCGCGCGCGCGTGTGCACACACACACACACACACACACACACACAGAGATATAATTAAAAACAAACTTACTAAGAAAGTGAAATGGAAAATATTAGGCAAATATTCACTCAATGCTGACAAATGACACCAAAGAAAGATAATGATGAGAGAAAAGACCGGAAGAAGGGGGTGCAGGCTCAGTGGCAGCAGAGGGAGGCAGAAAAGGAGGCAGGGAGGAGGCCAGAGCAAATCAGGACAGACATGGAGCAAGAGGGGGGAAGAGAACCGGTGTCTATGTTGTTAAGTGAAAGCAGGAAGTTTAAAAAGTTCCAGTGCATTCCTTACAAGGTATCAAGTCTCTTCATTCACAAAAGACACTGGAGTCGTTTTGGGAAAAGAACAGACCTTACACAACTGAAAGACGAGGTGTTTTTGTTTGTCTGTTTGTTTGTTTGTTTCTAAAGGCTAGGTTTACGTGGTTTTTACTTGTCTGACGAGGACCATCCTGGACTTTTTAAGCTGCACACTCAATACTAGGATTCTCGGCTCCTTCTTTTGCCTGCAGCTACCCACTTCTTACCTTAGCCCCTATTCCCACTCCACTCTGAAACTGGGCTGTAACTGAGGATATAAGTAAGGCAAAGGCAGACAGGACGAAGGGCTTTGACATCACTCTCTCTTAACCTTCTGTGTGCCGAAGTGTGCTGAGCTAGAGCCACTGGCTGCCTGGAAGCAGCAGTTCGTGGCTGGTTTCACCCCAGAAAAACTTCACTTTTTACACTTAGACACCCAAGGTGCAAGTGTTCACTTTATCTGTCCCTTCAGAGAGGGCAGACTCAAAGAAGGGGCTGGCAACAAAGGAGCCTATATCTCACTATTTTGTATTGTTACTAGAAATTCAAAAGTTGTCTGTTGTTGTTGATGGTTTGGTTTGGTTTGGTTTTTCAAAACAGGGTTTCTCTGTGTAGTCCTGGCTATCCTGGAATTTACTCTGTAGACCAGGCTGCCCTCAAACTCACAAGAGATCCACGTGCCTCTGCCTCCTTAGTGCTGGGATTAAAGGTGTGCACCACCACAGCCCAGCTTAGAAATTCAAAGTTTTAAGCATGTTAGTTACTTCCGTCTCTATGACCAAAACCACAACAGAAACAGTTTGAAGAAGAAACCCTGATTTGTCATCATGGCTTCGGTCCCCCACGGATTGAAAGGCATTGTGGGATAGCTGAGCTACGGTGGTAGGAACACACAGCCGACTGCTGCCGGTTCAGCTCTTGGCAAACCAGGAAGGGGTAGGTATACTCTCCAAAGGCCTGCTCCTAGCGGCTGACTTCTATCAGCCAGGCCCCACTTCCCTAAAGGTCCCTCAGACTCTCAACAGCCTACCACCAGGTGGAGAACAGGTACCCTGACAGGATCCAATGGAAGGCACTCAGACACAGGAATCAGGACAAGCCTACAGACTTTTTGTACCTCACAGCTTGCTGGAGTAGAGCCCAAACCTTTGCCTGAAGTAGCTGGAATTAAATTTGGCAAAGAAAGCAGGTGGGCAAAGTTTTCAAGGCCACTGTAAGATGATCCTGGAAACAATAGGAAGGCAACCCAGGATACTGAATCTATCAGGACAAACTTTTCATTGACAGACCATCTTTGCCAGGGCATGCACAGCTGAGCTCCTGGCTTCAAGGTGCAGAAGCCATCTTTACTCAATTATGGCTAGAGGAAAAAAAAATAACCCTTCCATCCAGAAAGACATGGATGTCAACTAAGTTGAACATTCAAATGCCACAGAACTCACAATGCGCAGCAAGTCATGGCATAACAGACAACACAACACTCTGCTGTTCAACACGCAAGCTACAAGTCCTATGTGACTGGTTAGATTTAAGTCAACTAAGATTATACAAAATATCAAATTCAGTTAAACTGCTTGTTGCAAATGTGATGAGGCTGTCATATTACGCAGAATAGAAACAGAACATTGCTATCACTCTAGAAAGTTCTGAAAGCCTGTGTTATTCCAGGATATTATTATCACAGATGCATATGTTAACTAGGTATAAGCAAGTTTCCTGACAACTACCCTTTATGATGACTATATCTAAGAAAAAAAATACAAATAACCTGAAAAGACGAAAATTGGAGTCTTTATCCGTGATTACTGTCTGCGTTGGTTTGAATAAGAATGACTCCTATAGGCTCATATATTTGAGTGCTTAGTCACCAGGGAGAGGCACTATTTGAGAAGGATTAGAAGGTGTGGCTTTGTTGGAGTAGGTGTTGCCTTGTTGGAGGAAGTGTGTAGCTAGGGGTGGGCTCTGAGGTTTCAAACCCCACACTAGCCCAGCATATCTCCCCACCCTTGGCCTACAGATCAGGATGTAGCTCTCATGTACTGCTCCAGGGCCATTCATGTGCCAGGCTCCCTGCCCTGATGATAATGGACTGAACCTCTGAAACTGAAAGCCCCAATCAAATGCTTCCTTTTATAAGAATTGCTTTGGTCATGGGTGTCTCTTCACAGCAATAGAAACCCTAACTAAGACACTACCTAACACACTGATGCCTTAAATTACTGCGTGATAGAAGCTGCAATGGAACAGATGTAAAACCTAAGTCAGATTGATTGGCTGACTTGCCCTCAGGCAGAATATCAAAGTCCCTTGCTGTAGCACATACCAAATCTATTTTATTGGACATGCTCATCAACCCAAAGTCCCATGAGTCCTCTCTGGATAGCATTAGGGAAGGGATCGTGCACGTAGAATTCATTCAACAAACATCTATTGTACCAGGACACACTGTCATGAAACTTTGAAATGGTTCAGTAAAAGAAAGACGAAGTACACTGAAAGAATTATCTGTCAGTCAAGCTGACGTAGAAATGGTGTGTGTGTGTGTGTGTGTGTGTGTGAGAGAGAGAGAGAGAGAGAGAGAGAGAGAGAGAGAGAGAGGGAGAGACAAAGAGACAGAGAGAGAGAGACAGAGAGAGAGACAGAGAGAGACAGAGAGACAGAGAGACAGAGAGAGACAGAGAGAGACTAATGGGGCCAGGAGCAACACTGTGGCCACAGAACTGCTTTGGGACAAGGTGGAACCTCAATCAGCCATTTCTGATAAGAACCATGATATTAACTCTGTTTTTAACCATTCACTTAATTGGTTTATCATGTTTTCTAGTTTCATCATACTAAAAATTCTGAACCTAAAGGCTACTCTATTCATTTCCCCACCATTTCAAATAAATCACTTGGACTTGCTTAGAAGGCCCCCGGGTATTTCCCTGGGGCCCCTGTGCCTTGCACAGAATTTCCATTCAAGCCTTAGCTTCGGGTAAGGCCCTGACACTCCTGACTTTACAAACTATCAAAGAGCTTGCAGAGCGACTTCAACACAGAAGGGAGTAAACGTGGGGAACAGGGGAAAGCAGCCATGGAGACGATGACTGATTACTCAAGCTCTACTCTGTGCTCTTGGCTCTAGCTCCCTCTGAGAGGTAGGATGGACCAGCCACGCCTGAGATGTTTCCCCATCTCTGCCACACCCTCCCACCCTAGGAACAAAGCAAACTCCTTTGGAACCACGATTTCTACATACAGGAGATTCGCTGACTCCGAAGATGTCTCTGACATCCCTGACGGGCTGCTTGTTCTTCTTCCTCAGTGTCTGGGTATACGTGTTGTATCTCTTTTTCACAGCGGCTGCTTGGGTCCGAGTTAGTGTCGACAGGAGTGCTTTGCCGTCTTCTTCTTCATTTCCGGAGATGAGAGTTGACAACCCCACATCTTGTAACCACTCTGCTTCAAGCTCTCCTTCTGGAAAGAGCACGAGCAAGGGGAGGTTAGGATGGTTTCTAGAGGACCTGTGATGCAAGCAGCTCATCTTTGGGTATACCAGACACTCGGAAGCATCGGTAAAACACATAGTTATCTTTTTGTTGTTGCTCTGAGACAAGGTCTTGAACTCATGATCTTTCTACCTCTTCCTCCAAAATGCTGGAGTTGCAGCAGGTGCCACACCAACCAGATACAGTTGTATTTTCTTCTGCAATAATTATGAAAGAAGAAATGGAAAGTTTGTACTATTTATTTATTTATTTATTTATTTCTGTGTAGCTTTGGAGCCTATGCTGGCACTTGCTCTGCAGACCAGGCTGGCCTTGCCTCTGCCTCCCAAGTACACCACAACACAACACCTGGCTATAGTCTTTTTCAACATTAGTAAAATCATATAATGCTGCCTAGTAGAGCAAGGTTATGTGGCAACCATGAAAGGCACTTTTCCTTGTTAGAAGGTTGAAGATAAGCCATGGACAGGACTGACTTCCAATTAAAAAAGAAAGTTAAAATATGATCATTTTGACTAAAATCATAACAGGAAAAAGCATGGTATAGCAGTCACTCAAATGCAGCCTCAAATCCACCACTCAGCAGCTGACCGACATCAGAAGATGCCTCCAGTACCCAGTTTCCCCTCAGCAAATGGGCACCAGGCACCCCCTTCCATTACGAGGCTCCAGCACCCATTCTGAACACAGAGTCAACGTTCTCTCAGAAGTGCGGCTCGGCCACCACCGGCAGAGTTTCAGCTTTCTCTGTCTTCTCACTGCCTCAATGCCGTTCTTACAACATCTTCCCTTGACAGTGTCCTGCAGAATGGCTGGATGCAACCTACCAGACTGTCCTCACTGTACAGACACTGCTGCTGGGCCCTGCTGGCCACCTCTGTCATAACCTCTCTCCACAAAGTGGAAACTCGCTTGCTCTAAACCTATTCATTTGAATGCTGGACCCCAGTTAGGGCTTTGAACCATAGGTATCATAATCCCGCTCTTTCTAGATTCCTATCTAATGGTTGAGTATAAGGGTCCCAGATGTCTTCTCCTCTTCCCTTTGACCCTGGAAGATATTCTAACTCTTTCTCCCTGGGATCTATTAGTAAGGAACTATTCCTGTTAACCCATGTGTCTGTAGTATTGCTGCCTCCTTGCAACCCCAGACCAACAAACTGGACATAAGTCAATCCAGAGCATAAGGAATTCACTAAGAGAAACAAGTATTTGCGTTATTTGCTGTGGATCCTTAGCCAGCTGCCAAGATGAAGAAATACCCTGTAGGCCAATGACATCCACACCCACCACCCTGGAGCTCCATCAGGGCAGGGCTACAGTGTACAACCACCATCCCAAGGGAGAACACAGTGCCCAGTTAGAGGCACACACCACGATAGGTACAGCAGTAAAATTAGTATGCAGCCATCAGGATACTTTTCTGAGAAACTATTTATGAATTTGGCAAAGAACCTGGCATAAAATATTTAATAACCGTTCATTCCCATTACACTATAAATATGAGATAAATCTATTTTTTTCAGAAGGCAATTCAAAACCTAAGGTTCATCTGTAAGCATCAGTTACCATTGTAAAAACAAAATGGAGGAAAGTCAAACGGATTCAGAGTACATATCCTGTGTAGAAAATCGGCTGTTTACACTTCCCTCAGAACTCTGCTAAACAGGCCTATCACCAACAGGGGCTGTTTGATGAGTAGATTAGACTGACGTGTAAACACATTTCAAAGCTGCAGCCTAAGAGCCCTGAACTCTGCTTACACAGTTGCATCATCTGTATACAGACAGACAAGCGGAATGTGAGTTCAGAGTCCCATTTCCTAACTCGGCAAAGACTTTATTTACTACTGTACTTTTCTTACTTGGTTGCTCAGTAAACTGTCCCTTTAATAGAAATGAAAGGTGAGTCAGTACCAGCAGTGATCTGAAATGGCAATATTTGGACTAGAGTGAGGTCAAACCCGGAATGACTTGGAAGGGATTCTTTTACATAAGCCTCGGGTAAGGCTATCATGTCTCACGGTGAAGTCAGAAATATAAACAAACAACGTTTTAAAGATTGGATTGTGTTTCATTATGTGAGACAATGAAAGAAGAATAGCGGAAACGGACAACGGAGCCAACAAAAATCATGGGAACTAATGGTTTAAAACCTCAGACATTTCCCAAGGGCAAAACATAGCTAGAAGGTTTTCCTCGGTGAGAAATATCCCCAGCAGACACCGGTGTGATTCCTTTGCTGACTTATGAAGAATGAAGTCTCGTGGTCTCTCTTCCAGCTGTCACAGGTACATCTTCAACCCAGAATACCCCATTGATTTTAGCCCAGGTATCCAATCGCCCACTCAATATTAAATTTGACTCTATCAATCATGTTATAGTCAACATGTTCAAGCCTGAGTTCATGACCTTCAACCCCTGCCCTGGTCCTCTGTCACTCTTCCACATTTCAAAACAAAAAGCCCACCACCAACCAATGAGGCAAAGGAGTGGCCCCAGAGGAAGCAACCCCAGCACACTGCCAAGGCTCTTTATACTATTTCCTCACACTTCTCAAGATGCTCCAGCCCCCTTCCTTCACGCCACTCTGTATAGTTGGTGTAGGGTCATACTCTGCATTCCAGGTTAACCTTGAACTTGCCATCCTCCCGCCTCTGCCTTTTGAGTTCTGCATGACAGGAATGCACTACTGATACCCCAACTTCCTTTGCCGCCCTTTGTCCGATCTACCACAGCCTTTGTCAAGATGTCTCCATCTCCTGACTTCCACCAGCTCTTCCTAGACTATCCAGGCCCCTCCAAACCACGTTCCAGTGTCACTAAATGTGTCCTTGTAAATGTAACTATAAGCATTTACCCCCCCCCCCCTTTACTGTGTTATGCAACATGTATTTACACAACTTCTCACTCCTCACCTGTTCCCTAGGTTACTGTGGGGTCCTCTGGAGCTCTGTGTCACACACATCTGGACAGGCCAGTCGTCATTGGCTCTGTCATTACTGGCCAGCTTTCAGACCCCAGCTTCTCTCTCAATGAAGTCTTTCTCCTGAACCCAGGAGACAGGTAATGCCTTCCTGCTATCAGCCTCAATTCTGTTTCCTTTTCCTGCAAGTAATTTCCCCTCTAGTAGGTCTTGAGCTCATTTCATTAACCGCCTCAAGCCCTTTCTTCCTGTTAGATCAAGTTCATGAAAAAAGGAACGCTTCCGGCTTCTACTTGCAACTCCAACACCTTGTGGAGCGCCTAGCTGAGGGAAGGTGCACACATGTGCTGAATTAATTAGCTGATTAATTAAGTTTCAAATGAAAAATATAATTATGGATACTATTCTGGAGAGTCATAAAATTGATGAATATCAATCACTAACTTTTAAAACAAGCTACCTGTCTTGTGCAGCATTTCACACCTCCAGTCTGTATTGGAGACACACATTAAAACAGGAATCCAGCCTCTCATAGAGTCAGTGTAATTTTTATCAAAACAGCACTTGAAATAAAACACATGAAATAATTATATATAGATACCAGAGAAGAACCGAACAAGGGCAGGAACTGGAGAGGTAAAAACCCCAAATTTCTATTTAGATAATGTCCTAGTATGATTTGAATTTATTGCTTTTCGGCTAAGGTCATTGTTCAAGCCCTGCTATACAAGGTGGCTGCAGACACACTAGAAAATGAATTGAGGAAGTTGAAGGGATATGAGTTCAAGATTAAAAACAACAGTCATATTTCCACATACCTGAATCAACGTGGGGGGAGAGACCCAATTAAACACCCCCACTAAGAAGATGAACAGAAGCTGGAGAAATAGCTCAGTGGTTAGGAGCACTTGCTGCTTCCCCAGAGGACCTGCGTCAGGTCCCCAGCACCTATATTGTAGTTCATTGTCTCCTGCAACAGCAGTTCCATGGGATTCCACCACCTTTCGGCCTGACAGGCACCAGCCACACATGTAGTTCACACACATAGTTGGAAGTAAGTAAGCACTTACTCACACAAAGTAAAAATAAATCTCTTTCAAAAACAATATGACCAGTTAAGTCATAGAAGCTTTTGCAATGTATGCAACACACACACACACACACACACACACACACACACACACTTGAATTCATTAAAAATTCCTACAAGTCAGTAACAAAAGGATAGCACTTTTAAATACTTGAGAAATCTCACAAAGTGCATGAAAGGAAAACAAATATAGGGACTGCATCCTTAATCCTTAGTCATCATTAATCGTCAATGCCACATAATCAGAATATAAGACACTTCTGCATATATAGAATCACTCCTATGAAGAAAATTGACAGTATCAAACTTTACAAAGATTTGCCTTAACCTGAAGGGAAGGGTGTAAAATGGTACAATTACCTTGGAAAAATCCTGGTAGTTTCTCATAGTTAAACACAATTAATAAAAATTTGTGTATCTGAGAGAAATAAAAATGTATGTCCACAAGTGAACTCAACAAGATTTCTCAAATCATCCATGTTTAAGTGCTTAAAACTATAAACAGAGTGAACCTACGATGACACTGTCAGGCCAGGAGAACATGATCTGTTCATTTAGAGGATGACACTGTGAAGAGCTGAACCATCACCCTCAGCACCATGAGTGTGGGCTGGTTAAGAAAATGACATTTACAGATGAACTGTGGGTTGAATGTATTCATTAAAACATGTCTATCATAAAAACATTCAATTTCAATTTACTTTATCTTCAGTAAAGATAAAAATTAAAAATGAAAGAAAGGACAGCTTCTAAAGCACACACACTCGCATACATGCGTGCATGCGTGCACGAGAGCGCACACACACACACACACACACACACACACACACACACACACGGAGTTGCAGGCTAGATGTAGCTCAGTGGCAGTGTACTTGCCCAGCCCTGGGCTCCATTCAAAGGATGGCAAAGCAAAACCCAAAACAAACCCCTGGCCAAACCAAATACAGAGAGGCCATATTGGAATAGAGTGAGTCCTTTAATTCATTACAACTGGCACCTTTGGAAAAAAAGGTCACAGGTACAAACACCTGGAGCAATCTGAGGCAGAGGTTGGCACAGCCTGCTGCCTATATAGAGCCAAGAGCACTAATATCTGCCAGCTTCCATCCCAACTTGGAAAGCAGCAGCCACGGGATTCTCCTGACAGCTTCAGAGGGCAAGACCTAGCTGGCTTTCTAGTTCTGCCGTCCAAAACTGCAAGGAGTATATTTATGTTGTTAAAAAAACACCCAATTTTGTGGTACCTTCTTGATGCATCCCTAGAAACAAATGCCAACTACCCCAAACCAAAAAGCAATGACCTACTGATACACTTAGCTGAGTCTCATAAATACTGAGTCCAGAGACATAAACCCTCTGACACACAAACATGGGAGCTGTCGCTTCCTCTGGCCCTAGACGATGTCACTGGGGGAGGTGTGACGGACAAGGATGAACAGGAAGCCTTCTGGTTGAAGGCACTCCACCCCCCCACCCCGCCATCTCTCTGACAGATAAGGTCTTATTACACAACACAGGTGGGTCTCTAGTCATCCTCCTGCCTCGGCTCCCGAGTGCTGTGATTATAGACTTGTGTGGCACAGCCTGACAAAATGAGTCTTGATCCATGTGGGGTTAGAGGAGTGCATGCCTCTGCCTTCATCAAAGGCCACTTAATTGTGCACTTAAGATATTTACATCTTGACAAGTGATTTCAAAGTGACACCTGCAAATAAATATTAACTCTAGATAGTGAGCCTGCATTTTTATAGCAGTTTAGGAGAGCAGAAAAAATATCTCTTACGGCCCTTGGGCTTGAATAAATGGTTCATGTTATGTGTAAGAGCCCTGTTCCTCATCATGTAAGGGAGTTACTTTATAAGGAGAGGATGCCAGCAAACCCTGAGGCCTCAGATAGACTTGGAGGTTACTGGGTTGCTAGGAAAAAAAAGAAAAAAAAAAGGCAGGGATATGGGACAAGAGGCATTCTCCTTCAAGTGCCTGTCTGAAGCGGTGAAAAGGCAAACAGAAGGCAACATAGGAGCATGGGAATAAGCACACATTTCCCTGCTGGAGAGCCATTTCCTAAAATGGAAGCTCTTGAACCACATGTGAGGGGCTCCTTGTTTGTGTGGCATGGGATTCTAACGGAATACTTAGAATTGACGACGCCTTGGTGTTGGCAAAGACTAAGACAAGAGAATGAAGGTTGAGAAGGATTTTCGAGCTGGTAGCTGTCTTAAGATTAACTGCTGATTGATGAAACAGTTCTGGACATTTTATACACCCACAAGTCAATCCAGGCAGGACACAGCCGGGCTGTACTTTCAGCCCAGGATCCTGAGAGCCAGGAACCATTATGCTCTTTTTGGCTTGCTTATTTGTTTTTCTCTGTTGTTTGCTTTGGGTTTTGTCTCCATCATCAACGCTTAACAAGATTTTTTTTTTTTTTTTGTGGAATACCAAGCAGTCTAATATATTAATGCTAACAAATGTTCCAAATGTTTCCCTCTAAAATCGTTAAAGCAGACCTCACGCCTCCTCTCTTCCTCCCGGCTCTCTCTCACTCCCCTAAATGTCAAGTACACAGATGTAAATGTCAAGAGCATCCGCATGACCAGTCTGTTTGATGAAAAGGTGCCCACCCGAAGGGACCACCACCCCCAGGCAGGGAGACTTAAGGAGCTTGTCGGGATGATGCCAAGGTTTGCCCTCCCTCAGCGCTCACAGCTCTTACCCCCACCTCTACTGATTACAGACTTGGTGGGCTGACTTCTTCCCCAATTGGAAACCCACAGGGCAGGGCCAGCCCCTTACCATCCACAGGCTTGACCTCAGTGGTGGGCGTGGTGGGTGTGGTGGGTGTGGCGGGCGGCTCCTCCTTCACCCCCACACTACTCTCTTTAATACTCTCGATTTCCCGCCAGAACTCCTCCACGGATGTGCTGCTGTCGACAGAGGCTTGAGAGTTGGAGCGACTGAAAGCAGGAGGATGCAAGGACTCATTGGACAGCATCCTGTTAATTCTTCGGCAGCGGGGAATGGATTTTCTGTGGAAAGAACAGCAACTGAATGAAACCCAGGTGCCTGTTAAAGTCACCGAAGAAACAATGGAATCTAGGTTGAGTCAATGGAGAGCTGGGAGTGCTAGTGGGAGGGAATTGACAGGATGAGCTCAACCTGGGGAGGGTCATCCCCCCCCCTCGTACTTCCTAATGATTCTGTATAGCTATATGAACATAAACAAGAATTTTAAAAATACTTATTGCACATGAAATGGTTAAGTTACATCTGTCAGTAGAAATGTGTGCCACTAGAGCTTGTTTCTGAAAAGTGCCTTAGATGATGGCAAAGAGGTAAAAACTCAGCTGCCAGCATCCATTGGCATACCTATTAAGGGAAGACAAATAAGAGGTACAAAGTGCTGGCAACTATGTGGAGAGACTGGAAGCTTTGTGTACAGTCGGTGAAAACAGCAGATGGTTCACCTCTCTGGGAAACTACTACGGTCCCTCAAAAATCATTTTTAAAAGATGTGTTACCATATAACCCAGCAGCACCCCTTCTGGAACACACCCCCAAATAACTGAAAACGGGTGCTCAGTGCGGCATTTGTACACCCGTGCTCATAGCGCGTGGGCATCATAGAATGTGGCGTGGCACTTTGCAGACTGTGGAGCAGTGGCAGAGCCCTTACCTAGCACGGTGAGGCTCTGGGCTCAAGCCCGTCAGTGGGGAATACACTAGGAAGGTATTTTGAAACATGCTTCAACATGGCTAGAACATAAGACGTGTGTTAAGCGAAATGAACGCATGTGTGATTACATTTATGTGAGTACTGAGTGTTGTCACATCCACAGAGACAGAAAGCAGTTCCAGGAGACGGGGTAGGCAGTCGGGGTCTCAGTTCTGCAATACGCAAAGAGATCTCTGATGGTGATGGTTGTGTATTAGGACTGGGTTTAATGACGCTGGACGACACTTACAAAGGCTTAAGACGCTAAGCGTTACAGCTATATCTTTTAAAATTATAAGATAAACAATATATTTATAGTAATTTCATAAAATCAGCAAAGGAGATTATGACAGAGATTACAAGGTAGTGAGTGAAAGCAATGTGTGACCTGTGTTAGGACAGGGAAATGGGCAGGGAGCCAGAGCGCAGAGATGAGGGGGGTGTTCTTCTGTACACACGTTTCTCTTATTGGTGGATGCAGAAAACACAGATTTGCTAGGCAGGAAGCATAGGCAGGGCTAGGAGATGAGGAGAATTCTGGGAAAGGTAGGTAAGAGGGAGCCCACCAAAAGAGTAGCCATGTAAGGACGGGGAAGAAAGGATGCACCAGGTGTTCTCCAGAAAGAGAAGACCACGTGGAAATACATAGATTAATAGAAATGGATTAATAATTAAGACAGAGCTAGAGCCAGGTGGTGGTGGCTCACACCTTTACTCCCAGCACTTGGGAGGCAGAGGCAGGTGGATCTCTGTGAGTTCATGACCAGCCTGGTCTACAAGAGCTAGTTCCAGGACAGCCTCCAAAGCTATACAGAGAAACCCTGTCTCAATTAATATAGCATCTGTGTGTTTATTTGGAGCTGAAGTGGCTGTGGGACCTGGCAGGACAAGAAACCTTGCAGCTACACAGAGACCTTTGGCAAACGTAGAGGGAAGCACGTCTCCACTAAGTGTGTGACCATGGCTGAGCAGGGGAGTGTGGCTCCTCCCACGGTCACTCACTGCCAGGCAGCACACCCAGCAATGTTAGAGAGCAGCAGCTGAAGACTAACCCTGTGTGGCTTCATGGAGCTGGCTTCACGTATAAAACATCCAGGACATAAAAAAACAGTCGAAGGAAGCTTGCTTTAAAAAAAGACACAGTGAGCTACAGAGATGTCAAAATATGGTCACCAATAACACAAAATAAACCTTTGACTTTTACAGGATGTAACTGACAAACACTACATGTCCTGAGGGTAGACTCTTTATCCGGGCTCCCCAACAATGAAGCCTGAATTTCTGTCTTTAATCAGTAAAATCCTGTTTTTATTTGCTATAGTTTGGATCTTGAACCATTCCTGAAATTCCTTGTGTTAATTAATGGTCTGCACCTCGGCTGGGATGCTAACGAGAGGTTACAGTACCTTTAAAATATGAGGTCTAGTCAGGCTTGTCACTGGGAGCAAACCCTTGGAAGAGAGATTGTTAACCTCTCACTCTTTGCTTCCTGGTCATCATGTGTGAACAGATCTCTCTCTCTCTCTCTCTCTCTCTCTCTCTCTCTCTCTCTCCACACATGCATATAAACACATACACATACACACACCACACACCACACACACACACACACACACACACACACACACACCACACAAAAATACACGCATATAAACATATTTACATACATACATACACACACATACACGTATCACACAACACACACACAAAACACACACATACACACACCACACAAAACACATGCATATAAACACACACACACACACACACACACACACACCACACAAAAAACACACAAACACCCCCCCCAAAAAACACACATATAAAAACACACACACACACACACACACACACACACCACACAAAAAACACACAAATGCACACACACACACGACACCACAGGACACCACACACAGATAAACACACACATGCACACACCATATCACATACAAAAACACACACATATAAACATATATACACAGCTGGGCAGGTGGCGTACACCTTTACTCCCAGCACTTGGGAGGCAGAGGCAGGTGGATCTCTGAGTTCCAGACCAGCCTGGTCTACAAGAGCGAGTTCCAGGACAGGCTCCAAAGCTACAGAGAAACCCTGTCTCGAAACGAGACCCCCCCCAAAAAAAATACACATACACACACATGTACACACACCACACACCACACAAAAACACACACATAGGAATACACCACACACACACACACACACACACACACACACACACCACACCACACACACACACACACACACACACACACACACACCACTGGAAAGGGTTAACAGAAAAGGCACACTAGTATCCAACTCTGGGCTGTAAGGCTCCCAAGACAGCTACATTTGATAAGCAGGGAGCAGTGGACTGTCATCAAACTTAGCCATGGCCTGCAGCATCGGGAAAGGTCACTGATAGGCTGGCACGAGAACACCCAAGAGAAGCAAGGAGACTGCTCTACTAGCAGGATGGAAACCTTCCATCTGTAAGAAGATTCTGTGCCTGTGTCGCTGACCCTTTCCTGAGGCCTGATTATAAACAGTTTAGTTCTGACATTAACTGGCAGCAGAAAATTTACGTTTTAAAACTCAAAGCATTTTAGAAAAAATTAAATACCTCTAAAAAATGTGTTGTGCAATAAAAAAGAATTCTAGGCAGCCTTGTTTGATAAACTGTTGATAAATTATTCTGTGAATTCCTTACGCTTGGGTGAGGCAGCTGAGATTCACATGTGACCAACAGGCTACAGTGCTCCCCTTAAGGATTTGGTGGTTGTGTTTTCCTTTTGTAACAAGGCTAATTCTGAACAGGGCTAACAAATTGACACCAAGGTATTGGTAAATCAACTTGGGTTTCTTGTAATGCTGAAACTGTCACCATTACTCGAAATCCACTGTCCTCCAAGTATCCTATTCAGATAAAATCATATGACTCTCCAGAAAAATGCCCAATTATGGGTTCTATAGTGTAATTTTTTTAAAAAACTAAACACGCATTCATAGGAGGGGTGGCCTGATGGAAGATCAACACAGCAAGTATAGGTCCTGGGTTAAATCCCTAGCATCAGACCGTGTGTGTGTGTGTGTGTGTGTGTGTGTGTGTGTGTGTGTGTGTGATATAAAAATTAGTTGTATAGTTTTAACATAGACTAAGTTTTAAGAATTATAGTCTAAAGAAAATGGAGGCTCTTTCTCCATCTGAATTATAGGAATATCACGGTATATAACAATTCTTTAATTCTTCAATTTTTATTATTATTTATATGTGTAGGTATTTTGCTTAACATGCGTGGTGCCTGCAGAGTCCAGAGGTGGAAACTGTATCTAGGATGGAGTTTACAGATGTATGGTTACACCTACAGTGTAGGTGCTGAGAAGAGCACTGTGCAGGAGCAGCCAGTGCTCTTAACTACCTGGGCCATCTCTTCAGCCCCATAACAGTTCTTCTTTCCCTTACTCAAAAAAATAAGGCAGAGACTTTTTTATGCCATGCCAATGACTGCAGGCAGAAGAAAACTTCACCTGGGAATCTAAGCAAATGTGCAAATGTACTCAACAACTGAAAAAGTTTGAAATCACATACGGGGAAATAATGAGAAAGCCACAATGGAAGATATGCTTGGGGCTAAAAACCATCAGCTTGGCTATAGTAGAGTTCCCTGCCCATGCAAAAGACACATCAACGGAATCTCAAGGAGACCTTCAAGAAACTCTGCGAACAGCAGGAACAACAGGTGTGTGACACTGGCCTCCAACAGCTGACGAAGATCGTCATCCAAAGAATCTGTTAGCTGTAGTGAGAGGCTATTATTTTTGGCAAAGAAGCCAGACAGCACTTTGGGGACAGGCAGCCTTGGGAGACCTTTTGCATTTGTGGAATGGGCTTCAGATAACTCATCTTCATCCTGCTACAGATCACAACTTCCCCTCTTGACACATGGTGTAACAATGGTCCCCAGGCCCATTCAACAACTGGGTGAGGTGTGGTCTACAGCTTCATACCTCACCATATTAGGGCAGATTATGCTTAGGTTTCATCAGATGTTTGTATGGTTTATTTATTTATTTATTTTTCCCTTTTAAACCGAAACAATGCCAGGAAAATCTTACATGAAAAACAGAATGTCACACAGCAACTTTAGCTAGGAAAACACTACTAGGCTTGAAATACACCTTACGGGTATGTGAACAGCTATATGTTCAAAATGAAATCAGAACAGGAAAGGTTTTACTCCTCTATGCCTTCATCCGCTGTCTTTATTCCCATCTGTCTCATTTGCTGGCAGTCACGATAGCCATATGATGCCC